ATATATATATTATAATTTATAATAATAGTGTTAGCTTTAGTTTTAACTATAATAACCATGGGGGAATCAAAATACCATTTAAGCCATTTTAGTATAAATGCATTTGTACAATATCAAAATTGCTAAATTCATTGTTGGTTAATTATTTAAGATGATGAATTATGAGCATGTATTTGAAGAAGTCTCTTATGCCCACCAAGGCTGCATTTATTTGATCAAAAATACAGTAAAACAGTAATATTGTGACATATTATTACAATGGACACTAGCTTAAGTAAAAAAGTACATTTTATTTTATTTCATGAAAATGTTTGTTTTTTATGATTGTAATTTTAGTTTCTAGTTTTAGTTATAGTTTACTACAATAACCCTGTTTGACACAAACATTTGATTTAAAATGCAGAATTACCAATTTTATGTTTGGTGAAAGAAAGCCCCTACATGGGGCTCATTTTTGTTAAGTGTGTGTGATGATGTTGTTTGCTTATGAATTCACTAAAAAGAGTAATTCAGCATTGCATATTGCAGTCGCAGCATGGCTGTTTCATCAGTGAAATTGTTGCGCTAAATCTGTTTCTGCTGAAAATCACTTGCATTCAAGGCAATGTCTTGATATGAAATAATATCATATGAAATAATGGAGGTATTGACGGTTCCCTGCCTTTGCAGATGGAGAAGTCGATGTGGTCTCGCAGTAACCCCAGGAAGATTGAAATCGACACCATGCGCTTGTATGAGCTGTTTGGAGTGAGAGAGACGGGCCGTGTCGGCACATCAGAGTCCATCAGTACTATGGAAATCATGTTGAATTCAAAGATCGCTCACAACTTCAGTAAGTAGTTGCACGTTTTTGATGTTTTGACCTCTCAGACCATTAGCCAAAATCTTTAAATGAAAACTCCCCTTTCACCCTTAACATTTAGAAAGTCACAACCAGGATATTCTTCAAAAATTTAATGAAAGGCTTGAGGACGAGTAAATGATGGCAGATTTTCATTTTTAAGTGAACTGTTCCTGTAAAGTAAGAGGATCATAGCCTTATGTTGTTGCTTGAGGAGAAATATCAGGCCGTGGCTCGTTATAAATGATGAATTTGTTGTAGAAGTTGTGGAATCAGTCATGGTGGGGTGGTGCTATTACCTTTCTAAGCAGTAAGATTTTCACCTGGAAGATGATAAAACAGGCAAAGATTATAATTCTAGTTACATTTATTGATGTATGTTCAGGTTTTCATGTACTGTACAGCTCATTGATATATAAACACACACAGTGAGCCCAAAAGTCTGAGATCACGTTGAAAATCTGAATCAAAAGCTAATTTAAAGGGATAGTTCACCTGAAAAATTACTCACCTGGTTGTTCCTTTATTTCACTAGTGCGCACTCCTTCGTACAGATCAGTGTTGTTTTTGCTCAAACTAAAACTATTAAACATTTTTTTCATGGTTAAAATAAAGCTGAAATATGGAAGGCCATTTCCACCACTGAATAACAAATCAAAGAAATGGTAATAGCGACTTTTTATCTCGCAATTCTGACTTTTTTTTTCTTCGTGAGATATAAACTCGCAATTGTGAGAAAAAAAAGAATTATAAGATGAAAAAGTCACAATTACCTTTTTAACATTTTATTCTGTCACGGGAACGGACTTCCATACTGAAATGAATTCAAATATTATAAAAAAATATAAACAAAAATTAGAAATGTTGCATTGGCAACTAACTGAAATTAAAATAAGTTGAAGTGCTGAAATTACTAAAAAAATACAAATAATAATAAATTAAAGCTAAATACAAATATAAAAAACAAATAAATAACCTAATAAACATCGTTTATGTATCTTTACGGGTTTCGCTGAAGCATTACACAACAAAACGGCGGTTAGAAATGCGATGCCTTTGCCCGATTCATTACCACATAGTTTTATTTCACAGAAGCACACATGTAGCAGACATATTAAAGCTGCTCTGCACACAATGCAGTGAAAA